TTACTCTGGGTAAGAGAGTAGTTACACTACTACAGGCCCCTTCGCATCCTTAAGACCCTCCACTGGTAGAAGAAAGGGGAAAGGAACAGATAAGAATAAATATTAACATAATGAGAAGGAGCAAACCTTGACCAGACCAGAGAGTTCTCAGACTCTCCCTCCATCCCTTGGGCAGGGGTCTCATGAGAGGCTAATACAGTCTCCTCTAAGCCATTAAGTAGAGCAAGCAGAAAATAACAGCCAACATCTGAGCACTTACCATGTGCCAGGCCTTGTGCTTAATGTTTCACATGCATTATCTTATTTAATCCTTATAACAACCTAATGAAGAGGGTGAAATTATTATCCCCACTTTACAGATGAAGAAACCAAGATGCAAGAGATTAAGTAATTTACTGAAGTGATCCTGGGCAAAACAAACATCAAAGCCCTGACTCCAGCCCACTATAGGGCAGATTCCCAGGACCAGGTTCTTAACAATGCTATTAACAGAAATCATAGTTTAGCAAAAATTGTTATGTAAATACACTGGGAGGATGGGAGAAGGGAAAGGGAACGTGTAAGGAGTGGGAGCATAAACTTTTCTAGAATTCCTACAGCAGGAAGTCAACAGACATCTAAAACTGACAAATCAAGAAGTATCACTATAAGCATATTATTTAGAAACAAGGGGGGTAAACCCCAACAAAAGAGGTAAGAGTTGAAAGTGGCTACTTCCATGGGGCAGGGCTTGGGGTAGGAACCTGCCTGCTATGTTCTTTTAAAAAGCCTTTTGATATTATTAGATCTTTTAGAAATCATGAACATATATTCCTTTGATTGAAAAATGATTTAAAAAGAAAAAGAAACCGAGATCATTCGAACTGAAGTCCAATGTAGTGAACATCTGCTGTTTTTTTGTTTTTTAATCTTTTTTTTTTTTTGAGAGAGAGAGAGAGACAGAGTGCGAGCAGGGGAGGAGCTGAGGGGAGGGAGACACAGAATCAGAAGCAGGCTCCAGGCCCTGAGCTGTCAGCACAGAGCCCGACGCGGGGCCCAGACTCACAAACCGTGAGATCATGACCTGAGCCGAAGTCAGATGCTTAACCGACTGAGCCACCCAGGCGCCCCTGAACATCTGCTGCTTTTGCCACACAGTTTCCATCCTCCTCTACTGATAAGAGCACTTGGGCTTTGCTTTGGAGAACCTCTCTCCTTTCCTGGGTAAGCTGGTGCACCTGTCCGTCAAGGACCTCCACAATGCCCTGGCCAAGGCAGGTGAGGGGCCAATGATGCCCTCTCCTTGGGATCTTGGGTAGAACTGCAAAAAGGTCTGGAACCAATTCACCCACCTGTAGAAACCCTCCATTAGTTCCTTCCACTTATACAGACCTGGAGTCACACTTTTTTTTTTTAACTGAAGTACAGTTGACACACAATGTTCTATTAGTTTCAGGTGTACAACGTAGTGATTTGACAACTCCATATAATATGCTGTGCTCACCACAGTGTGGCTACCATGTGTCACCATACAATGCTATTATAACACCACCACACACAGGGAACACTTCACCAATTTGCGTGTCACACTCGCACAGGGGCCATGCTCATCTTCTCTGTAGTGTACCAATTTTAGTACATGTGCTGCCAATGTGGACAGCCTTGGTTCACATTTTTTTAATGTTTATTTTTGAGAGAGAGAGCAGGGGAGGGGCAGAGAGAGAGGGAGACACGGAATCCGAAGCAGGCTCCAGGCTCTGAGCTGTCCGCACAGGACTGGCATGGGGCTTGAACTCACCAACTGTGAGATCATGACCTGAACCAAAGTCTGACGCTTAACCAACTGAGCCACCCAGGTGCCCCTGGCTCACACTTTTTAAGCTTTCCCTTAATTTCTGTGAGCTGCCCATTTCCTTCTAATAAATTCCTCTTCTGCTTAAGTTAGCTGGATAGTCTCTGTTGCTTACAACCAAAGGAACTTAATGCGAATGTCTAATAAAAATGTCTGAGGTTTGTTTGTGCTTCTCCTTGCCAGCATAACTCACTACAGTGGCTTGCAAGCTTCTCTGACCTAAAACAAATTTTACCTGAAGATCTAATAAGCAGACACATACATATATATAATGTGTATACATACATATAACTGAAACTAAATTTTTGCCAAAAATGTCCACTGTAACACTGTGATAGCACTAATTCTATTTCTTTTTCTTAAAGGACCTTATTTAGTTTAAAGAATTTTTAGATTTACAACAAAATCAGCCAGAACATACAGAGATTTTTCATATACCCCCTGCCCCAACATATGCATAGCTTTCTCCATTATCTATATCATTCACTGGAATGGTACTTTTTTTTTTTAAACCAAGGATGAACCTACACTGACACAACATAATCACCAAAAGTCCATCATTCCCCTCAGGGCTCACTCAAGTAAAGTGAATGCCGTACATTCTGTGGGTTAGGACAAAAGGATAAAGACTTCTATCACAGAGTTTTTTCACTGCCCCCCAAAAATCCTCTGTGCTCTATTCATCTCCCCTCTATGCTCAAAACTCCTGGCAACCACTGATTTTTTTGTTGTTTTTGTCTCCACAGTTTTGCCTGTTCCAGAATGTCATCTAATTGGAATCTACTTATTTGCTAATGCTCGGGTCCAACCCCCTAAGTTGATTTCAGGCCTACTGGTCATAGTGGCGATCTGCAGTTTGAAAACCACTGGCTCACTGCCCCTGCTCCGTCTGCCTCTAACAACAACAATCCAGAGTGCATTAGCCATGCTTCCATGTCCAAGTGTGATGCACCAAGGCACACAGCCTGGCTGGTCGGGAAACACCAACAGAGTCCCAGGGTCCTGACTCCCACTAGGACACACTAGTTGGTTAAGTTGTCTACACTGCTGACACAAGGAGACACATCCATTCATTTATATACTTATCCACTCACTTTGCACATGCACTGAGCACTCACTCGATGGTGTGAACATACACTACAGCCTCCTGGTGACTGTCCAGAGCAGTAAATTCTATCTTCAGGCTGGCTCAGAGGAGAGGAATCCCAAGACAAAGCCTGTCCCCGACTGATTGTTTACTACTGCCTCCCCCTCCGTAAGAGCTCAGGAATGTCTCCAAGAACAGATACAGGCAATGGTCATTTCATTCACACCTTTGAAGTAAAATACCTCTCAAGTCCAGCCTAGGAAAAAAGAATAAAGGGAATTTCTGTCTCCCCTTGTTCTAGAAGTCTCTGATTAGCCTCAAACTAATCCATGGCTGGAAACTGACTGAATTCCTTGCTCACTATTTTCCTACTAACTCTTTCTACCCCTCAAGGCAAGCAAGAAAATATCAAAGGACAAAAGAATATGTCAAAATCATTCTGAACAGTACCAACATCTTGGTCTTAAAATCTTTCTGGATCTCTTTTTCACAGCAAGCAAAAAGAAGCCCAGCACACTCCTTTCCTTTATTTTCCTCATACTCTTTCTCCCTGCCTCAACCATTCCAAAACAGTGAGCAAGAGAATGGAGTAGGACTTGGGGCTGACACAATAGATGGATTTCTTCCCTATCTCTTGAGTTCCATAGCTGGGGGAGTAAGAAACTACAGAAAATGAGGGACTGGGCTTGGGCAGTAGCCAGACCTGAAATATGGCAGAAATACTAACGGACTGGACAGAAACGGAGAGGGGACTGGGAACACAACTGACGGTCTGTACTTGAGATGAGAAACTACTCTAGGGAATTGTTCTGTGAAGAAGAGCCATAATCCAGGGGCCTTAGCTCCCCAGGGGGCATGCTGGGAGTGGAAGGGAGCAAGGGAAACAGATACAGAGTGGAGGGAGGAGGAATGGAGGGATACAAACTCCCCATCACCTCGGCTCCATTTCACTCTCACCCACAATAGCTTGAAAAATGGATGGAACAGTACACACCCGTTCTGGGTCAAGTTCCCTAGCAAAGCCTAGAAACATTCAGACACAAGTTACCCTCCTCGGTCAGTGAAGAGGGAAAATCATATGGTCACCCGAGTGAGGAGAAGAATAGGGACCGGGAGCCAAGGGAGTGAGGGCAGCAAGGCAGATGTGTTAGCCCTGGGGAACGCCCCTCTCTCCCCCACCCTCACTTCTCCGGAAGCCCTCGCGTGGGTCACGACCCTTCCCTTCTCAGTCTAGGTTCTAGCATCTCCCTCATTCCGGAGTCTGGAAGCTGGACACGTACACAACGTGAGTAAAACAGTCCCAGGAAGCCACCGATCGGCCGATGGGGGAGGGAAGCCAGGAGAACTGCTAGGGGAAGGAGAAATCCGAGCCGAGAGGTGACCCCCAAGCGGAGAGCCCTAATTCCCTCCAGCGAAAGGTGGCGTTCCGGGCCAATCTCGGCGTGCCTGGCGTCCTACCACCCCACCCCGTCCAAGCCCTGGGCTGCACTCTGTCTTCTTACGACCACCAAAGCACCAGTAAATTCTGTGAAGGGCCTCTGAGGCCATCAGGACCCACAGAAAAGCCTGAGGCCCTCGTCGGGGACCCAGCCAGGACCCACAGAAAAACCTAAGCCCCTCGTCGGGAACCCAACCAGGACCCACAGAAAAGCCTGAGCCCCTCGTCGGAGACCCAACCAGGACCCACAGAAATGCCTGAGCCCCTCGTCGGGGACCCAGAGTCCCAAGAGCGCAGGGATCCTGTCTCGGGAGCTCATTTCTCCTCCCACCCAGTCCACCGCCCGCAGGACGCCCGAGTAGCGCGCCCTGGAAAGCCGCGCAGAGTCGCCGGCAGGAGCCGCAGTGTCCTCCTAGAGGGCAGGTACGCCCGAGTCTCCGAACAGCCTTCCTCCCGCGAGCCCTCGCGGACCCCCGCTGCCCGCCACCAGATCGCAGAAAAAAAGAGGGAGGAGCGCTGCGAGGAGCCGACGGCCCCCAGCCGGCCCCAGGTGATGTCAGCGAACTCGGCGCGGGGCACGGGAGGGGCGGGACTGGGAAGCGAGGATACCGGGAGGGGGAGGCGGCGTGGCCGCTCCGTCTTACCGCGGTCTGCCCCTCTGGGTGCACGTCCACCAGGGTACACCAGTTCCGCGTCCCGTTCATCTTACTCCCGCGGCGGTAGCAGCGCGGACACCCACCCCCAGCCCCGCGGTCCAGCTCCTACTAGGCAGGCGCGCGCGGAACCGTTCCTCCTGTATAGGCGCGTCGGGGGCGGGGACTGCTAGTTGGTTACGCCCCCAAGATGCCGTTCGCCAATGAGAGTGAGCAAAAGAGCAGGGTGGGCGTTACCGAGAAGCACCGGGACACGCCCACCGGCCCTCGCTTAGATTTACATAAAGGTGGGGCTTGGAGGCTACCTGAGGCTGCTTGACTGAAATTTTGTCCAGCGTTGCGTGGCTGTACCTCAAACATGCATTAGTCTTGCACTTCTCTCCTTTCAACTCCAAGGTCAGTGTTGGTAAAAGAGAATCACCCTGTCTGCCCCTCAGAGGATAGTTGGGGAAAAAACTTCCCTTACACTCTCCTCTCCCCATATATAAGGCTACCTTAGTGTAGCTGAGCAAACCTTTCCTCCATCACCGTAGAAATGCAGGCACCAAAGGCCAACTCACTCAGACTGGCCTAAGCCAGTCTGGCAGGTGCCCTGCCCTGGCAGGAGGCCCAGGCCAAAGTCAAAGCCAGCTTGGCTCTGGGTGGGGCTTGTTTTGTAGAAGCTATTATACTAAAGCTGCCCTTATATGGTCTGGAAAGGCGGGACACGGTGCCTTAAAAGGATTTTGTATTCTTGAGAAACGATGAACCTCAACTTCTCCAGTGGCATTTGCTCCCAAAGCCCAGACTAGCATTTTAAGGACCTAGAGGAGAGGATGGACAAGGATGGGGTCTCTTCCAGCCCAGCTTCTCTCTTCAGGTTGGCAGCTCCCCTGGGCTGTGGTCCACATGGAAAGCACGCGGGAGGTCTGACCCACTCAATACCCCTGAATTTGGCAACAGGCTCTGATGAACAGCTAGGTCCCTCTTCAAGGCAACACAAAAGCAGGAATGACAGAAACTTTGCTACCTCCCAGGTAGGGACTGAGTCCCATACCAGGTGGGAAGGGATGAGTGACTTTGTACCTGGGAGGTGAATGGTGGGGCTATCCCTGGGCCCCAAGGGAATAAAACCCAATTCTAGTCTGTCTCTTTTAACCTTCAGAGATGGCATTTACTGGCCTTCTATTCCCAGAAGATTGTTTAGGAGAGAATGGAGGTGCTAGAAACATAGGTTCCCTGGGTTCCATCTGACCTGTTGTAAAGGCGTCTAAAAAGTGAGGTAAAGAAAACCCCAGCTTCAGCCTCTAAATTCTAAAATTAAAATGGTTTCTTCATAAAACAGACCTCCAAATAAGCCAGGAAAAAGAATGAGAACTCAAGGATTTTGGTATAGATATATCATTTTAATATTTAATTTAAAATAAAATCAAGGCTGGATTCATTTGGGGGAAAATATCTAATTTGCAGAATAGAAGTTTTGGGGTTTTTTTTAATCGTGAAATTATAAGTCATTAGTGAAAACATCCTTCTCCCTCCCCCAGGCTCCTTACAGAGCCTGCTTAGGAAATAAGAGAGGTGAATCATCTCCCTTACCTCTTCCCCACCAGGGCTGGGCTCTCCCCAGGACCCAAGGGAAGAATAAATCCTCCATTGCCTCTTCTCATTTCTACCAAGAGTCAGTCTTTAGCCCTAGGCAGGAAGCCCTGTATCAGGTTCAAGCTCCTGAGATAATGAGGGTCCCTTGGTTCCCTACTAAGGTTGGGCACATCTGGGTCAGAGAAACCACAAGGAAGACCTTTGCTTTTCAGACTCATGTAGGCAGTTATCAGGGTTCCCAGATGCAACCCCCTTATGAACACATGCATAGTCACAGAGGGAGAGGAGGAAAGATGGAAACCCTGAGCAGAACCAAGCCCCACCACCTTATCATGGCCCTACCAAAGTCCCTCCCCCAGGGCAGCTCTCTAGACCATTCACTGGGACAGCAGGAAAGGCTGAGGGCCCTGTTTGGGGAAAGGTTGGCCCTTGGAGAGGTATGAATGTGTGGGTATAGAAGGCAAGAAGAACATCCTTATCTCCTCACCCTGGCTAAGGCACCAAAAGGAAAGAAGGAAGGTAGGAATGGTGAAGATGGGAGGGGAGAACAGATCCCTTGGATCCACTGGCTTAGGAAAGACAAAATACATGAGAGTGGAGAGAGGTGGGAACCACCATATAGGTCCCACGACTGTGCAAAGAGAAGCATCCAAGAACTGGGTAGAGCCACACTAGTGTGTACATTACCCATAATGTTCCTTCCACCCTGCTCCAGAGTTGGAGGAAAACATGTTGCAGGAGTCGACGGAGCAGAACTGCAAAAGGTATTTTTTCCCTGAGCCTGAAGGTTAAGGGCTAAAGAAATAAAGCTTTATATACATGGCAACATCTATTCCTTCCTATCCTGCTCAATCCTCTTCAGTCCATATGCTGACCATTCTGTTGCTATGAGGGAGAAGAGGGAGGGTCGGCACTTAAAGGAAGGGCTCAGTTGGCCTAAAATACCCACTACTCCAGAGGAGAGGGAAAGCCCATGCACCAGCTTAGTGCTAATGCCTTTTTTATCAGCATCACTCACACCCCTCCCAGTCTTAAGGCTGAATAATTGGGTGTCCCCCTCTCTCCCCACAGGAATGAGGAATCCGAGGCTTAGCAGGGCAGAGCAGGATGGCAGGGCAGGCCTCAAGTGTGGTTTCTGGTTCCCTGTGGACCCAAGCTAACAGGAACTGGTCTGCAGGTTGCTCTCCGTGAGCAGTGATGCAATGGAGGATGGGTCGTAGACACTGTCAAATTCCTCATCTGAACTCAGCCCTTCATGCTGGGTTGACTCAGCAGCTGACCGGGAGGCTTTGCGCCTGAGTCAGAGAGAAGAATACTTGTAAGGGAGGGAGACAAAGATTGAGACAGCCACACTTACCATGCTAAGGAAATTCCCAGTTGTTCTAAGGCCTCTAGGTACTCACGAGATCGCCCACCAATCTGAGATCTGGGGAGATGGGATATAGACCAGGGGCTTGGATAGTAAAGAATAATCATACAGGCTTCCAGCCAGGAAGGAGTGACTGCCAAGTACCACCTTAGGGATCCTCCTCCCTATCCAGGAGACCCCATTCCCTTCCTGCACCACGACCCCGATTGAGCGGGGGTCAGAAAAGCAGCCATTACCAGGAGTCCTTCTCGAGGGTTTTGATCCGGGCTTGGAGCTGTTCATTGGCCTCATGCTGCTCCTCCAGCTCACGCTGGGCCTTCTTCCTCAGGCCATCGAGTCGCTCAATTTCCTCTTCTGCTTCATCCACCTGCCGCTTCAAAGCCTTCACCCTCAGGCTTAGCTGGACAGGATACCAAGTCCCCACATTAGAAAAGCATCTGCTGCTACCGTGGGCTGGGACCCTCCCCTGTAGCAATTTTGACAAGGGATCATTGCCCTAGAAAAATGTTATGGCCATGGGCAAGTTCCCTAACTTTACAGGTTTGTTTGGGGGGATTAAATGAGTTCATACATGTAGAACACTTAGAAAGAGAACCTAGCACATCACAGGCACTTGATGCATGTGCTACTGTGACTGCTCTGATCCAATCCCTCCAGTCTCATCTCCACCCTTATACAAGGAGAGTCGAAGCTGGGAAGACCTCTGAGATAGGTCCTCCCCTGACCTTCAAGCAAATGCTCCATACATGCTTGCCATATGGTTGCTTGGCCCTGGCTGCCATCCTTACCTGGTCCTTCTGGTCATTGACATGCTGCCGCTCGTCATCAATTTGAATGGACAGCTCTTTAACCCTCCGCTCCAGTTTTCGGTTGGTAGACTGCAAAGCTGTCTTCTCCCTAAGAGGGTGTGGAAGGGGGTGTCTATGGCTGTCGCCATTTCTAAAGGAACACCTGCTTGGCCCCCTCTGGCCTCCGTGAGCTCTTCTCAGTCACATCACACTGGAAAGGATCCAGGGCAGATCCAAAGAACCGGGAGAGAAGAGGTCATTCATATTTCAGAAGGCCTGCAACGCTCTTGCTCTTTACCAAGGAAAAAAGTTCCCCCTAAAGATCAGGCCAGGTTGGCCATGTCTGAAGTGCAAGATGGAGGGAACCTCAGAGGAGAAAAGCCCAGAAGGAGAGAAGAAGGGCTCACGTCACCTCTCTTCAGCTTGTAGCCGCTCCTGCAACTCCCGATTCTGGGACTCAAGATGAGAGAGGCTGGCATTGGGCTTCTGGAAGCCTTCTGAGCTAGCCAACCGGCTCTTCAAATCCTTATTCTAAAAAGGGCAGAAAATCTTCACAGTCACATTCCACTTCCAACCCCTCCTATGGACATTTCACCTGCCTCCTGGGGTCTGTCCCCAAGACTCCCTACTTCCCAGCTCACCTGTCTCTCCAGGGAGATTTTGTCACACTCCAGGTCCTGTCGAGCTGACCTCTCCTGCATGAGCTCTGTCCTCAGCTGGTCCACCTGGTGGGGAGGGGTGAGAGGAGCCAGATTTGGGGAGCGCTCACAGTGAACTAGGCAGCTGAACCACATGAGGCAGAGTAAACTGCAGGATGCTCTCTGAATCCCCATAATTCTCAGGCGACTAAAAAAATCAGCCTTTTCATATGGGACGAGCCACAGAATTTAAACAGGGCCTCCTCGGGGCGCCTGGGTGGCGCAGTCGGTTAAGCGTCCGACTTCAGCCAGGTCACGATCTCGCGGTCCGTGAGTTCGAGCCCCGCATCAGGCTCTGGGCTGATGGCTCAGAGCCTGGAGCCTGTTTCCGATTCTGTGTCTCCCTCTCTCTCTGCTCCTCCCCCATTCATGCTCTGTCTCTCTCTGTCCCAAAAATAAATAAACGTTGAAAAAAAAAAAAAAAATTTTTAAACAGGGCCTCCTCCATCACACCAGGAATTAGCATTCCTTCTGAATGGAAGTAGCCTGGATTCAGGGCAGAGAGTAATCCCAGGCCACCAGGATTCCTTCTTCCACTCAAATCCCTGGATTCTTTCCACCCGTCCTGAAGCAGAGGAGACCCTGAAGTAGCACCAGCCATGCACAGATTCCACAGCCAGAATTCTCCTCCCACATGGGAGGGTGGAGGTGTTTTTGAGAGGGCCGAGAGGTTCTGTAGTCAGGGATGGATGCAGGGGTCGGGTAAGGAAGGGCTTACCTGGTCCCGGCCACGATTCATGCGTTCCGTCAGCAGCTCCACAGTGCTCCTCTCCTCATCTAACTCTGCTTCCAGCCGAGAGACTTTTTCCTGTGGCAGAGGAGCAACAGGTTCTTTCTGCCCCACATGCTGGACACCAGAATACCAAACCCAACCAGGACCCTCTCAAGGCCCCGCCTCCACAGACCTGTCTCACATGTCCCCATAAGCAGCTGGTCCTTGCCCCTGCCCAGAGCCACCATAGAGCTAGCACCCTCTGCTGACCAGGCATGGCATCAAGGGAAAGAGGGAGAGGGTACCTGCTCTAGCCTTGGTCCCCTGGCAAGATGACAAACCCCAGAATCTATTCCTCACTGGGGTAGCCCTGTTTCCCTAACGGGAAAGCAGACAGAAAGCAAAGTGCCCGAGCCAAGGCTGGGATGGAGAGAGTCAGAAACCAAAGTGCCAGGGTACAGACTAAGGAAGCATGCTCAAGCCAGGCAGTCCCATGTAGATACTAAGGGTATGGTCTCTGGAGCCAAACTGCCTGGGTCTGAAAATCAGATTCCTAGCAGAGGGGCCATGGCTAAGTTGCTTACCCTCTCTATGTGTCAGCTTCCCTCAACAATAAAATGGAGAAAACAAGACCACCTATCCCACAGGGTTATTTATCCTCAAGATTAAATAAGTCTGAAGTGCCCAGCACATAGCATAATATGTGTTTGCTGCTGTTATTGTCTTGTTATTATTATTATTGCCAAATATGGCAACCTGAAGAGCACTATTGCCTCTAAAGAGGAGCCACTGCTATCCTCCAGCCAACTGCTGCCATGCAGATAACTCAGGATCAGAAGCTCGCTGCTACAGAATTTTCCAAACGTATAAACGAAGCCAGAGCTTTTATGTGACGTGTACATTTCTAAACACTGGCAATTAATTCAGAGCCATTTAAACACTGCAGTCAGGGGCACCGGACTGGCTCGCTCAGAGAGCATGCAACTCTTGATCTCAGGAGTTGGGAGGTGGAGCCCCACACTGGGTGTAGAGACCCCTTAGAAACAAAAAAAATATTTAAAAAAAAATTCTCTTTAAAAATGTTTAACAACAACAACAACAACAAAAGAAAACACAAAAGGAAACAAAATGAATACCACCACGGTCAAACTCCATCAGCAGTGGGCTACCAGCTTTCGATCCCTAGCATAGAAAGGGGGCTTGGCTTGTCCCAGCTCCTTTCCCCACAGAAGTCCCAGCTATGCCAGGACCTGGACACCCCTCCCCTACCCCCCCCCCCCCCCCACTCCCATGTCATTACCTCAAGACCCTTGAGTTGCCGGGTCCTGTCATCCTGGGAGCGCTTTTTGTTCTCCGCCTCCTGCTCCAGCCCCTGCAGTTTCTGGGCCAGCAGCTCCTTGTCCAGCTGGGCCGTGTCGCGGTCAGCCTGGGATGCCTGCAGGGCCTGCCGCAGCCTCTGGGTCTGGACAGAAGGAAAAATGGAACAGCCCAGAGAAGTAAGGTGGGGACTCGGGGGTGGGAGCAGTCTGCCCCTGCGGAGAGAAATGTTTCATCACTGATGTTCTTTAGAATCACCAGAGCAGGTGATAATCAAAAGCAGGCTGACTTTTAGTTTGTTTTCTTTTCTTTGAAGATCTGGTGGGTTTTATTCAACCATTCAGGGATCCGGGCAACATCCTATCTAGCCGGCAGAAAGGAGCTCCTGGTCCGTTTTCTTTATTGTTTTAACGCCCTACAGAAGTTAGAATCACCTAAGTGGTTTTTAGAAAATTCATCCTGGGTCCTGGCCCTAGGGGTTATGATTTAAGTGATACAAGCTGCAGCTTGGGTATTAGGATTTTAGGTATTTTAACAAAAAAGGTTTAATGTCATGACAAAACACAAGTTTATAACACATTGTTACTGTAAAAGATTGTGAAGCATTAAAACTAGCAATCATATTTACATTTTTTTTTTAAGGTTTATCTATTCTTGAGAGAAAGAGAGCACAAGTGGGGGAGGGGCAGAGAGAGAGGGAGACACAGAATCCCAAGTAGGCTGCAGGCTCTGAGCTGTCAGCATACAGCCCAACGCAGGCCTTGAACTCCCGAACTGCGAGATCATGACCTGAGCTGAAGTCAGACGCTCAACCAACTGAGCCACCCAGGCGCCCCTACAACTAGCAATCATATTTAAAGCATCTACTGTACGTCAAACATGCCTCTATATTGATACCATACTTCCACTAACATTGCAGTGTTGAAATTTTTTGGTACTGGGATCTTTTTTTTTTTAATCTCCCCAGGTGATTCTAATGTGCAGCAGTTTAAATATTGCTCTACAGGGGCGCCCAGGGGGCTCAGCAGTCAGAGAGGCCGACTCTTGATCTCAGCTCAGGTCATGATCCCAGGGTTGTAGGATGGAGCCCCGCGTTGGACTCCTCACTGAGCATGGAGCCTGCTTGAGATTCTCTCTCTCTTCCCTGCCCATCCCCCACTCACACTCTCTCTCACCCTGTTTCTCTCTAAAATAAAAAAAATTAAAGTTAAAAAAAAGTCACTGCTCTACAGACAAGGCACCTCCTATCATTATCGGTACCTAGAGTGGACAACTCCCTACCTCACTATGTCACTCTAAGTGGTTAGACCTAAACCGGGGTCCCAGGATCCCTTGGCCCCAGGTTTAGTTAAGAGGCAATGACCTGCAAACCAAGGACATTGGGAGAGTTCCCACCCTCCTGCCATTTCTGCCCCTACCTCGTCCTGAAGCCGGCTCAGCCCTCCAGAGCTCTTCTCAGCCTCACTGGCCCACTCCTTGGCCTGGCGCTGGGCATCTGCCACCTCCCGCCGGGCCTTCTCCTTGTAATCCTCCAGCTGGGCCTGGAGCTGCTGCAGGGCCTGCTTAGAGTCATTTCCAATCTGCTCCAGCTGAGATGCAAAGAAAACAGCCTTTCAGCACTGCACCTCTGTCCCTTCTCTGGGCCCAGACACCCCAGACCCTCCTTCCTGCCGAAGCAGCCCTCCATTGCTCTCCCCTGGGCCCTAGGTCCCTAGTATGGCTAGTAGTAATATACAGATTGCCTGGCTTCAAATCCTGGCTCTACCACTTACTAGCTGTGTGACCACAGCTCGTCTTCTCTGGGTCTCAGTTCCCCATCTGTAAAATGGGAAAATAATAGTACCTACATCACAAAGTTGTGAGAATTATGATAGCTAATTATGTAAAGTACTTACAACAGTGTCTGACACAGAGTAAACCTAATTGACCATATTTCAACAAACCCAAGAGGCCAATGATTACAAGACGTACAACTAAGAAAGAAAAATCTGCCACTTGAACTGTAACATCCCATCAAAACTATACAACGCAAATCAACTTCAGAGTACATTTTAGAGCTGACGAAATATATTAGGTGTTTGCTCTAGCTTTACAAAGATATTAGGAGAGAACCTTACCTGAAAAAAAGTTATTTATTTCTTTTTTTTCCTTCTTCCTTGCCCTCCCCCAAATATAAAATCCCACCCACGAAAATTCCTGTATTTAGGTCTTAAAGACATCTAGGGAGGGATTATAGAGCTTTCCTTTCCCTACCCCAAATAGAAAATTCTACTAATGAAGATTGTTATGTTCAGGTCTTAAAGATGTCTCAGGGAGAATCCCAGGAGACATTCTCCAAGGATCAAGACCACAATGAAATGGGACATAGAGGGGAGGTCGAGGGCACAGAGAAAGAGTAGAAAGGACACCCTCTCTGAAGATTTGGCCTTGGCCTCCCCAGCAATGAACTTGAGGAAAGCAAAAACCACACATTCTGACCTCCTCCCCCGCTCAGGCAAGCTTCTGAAAGAGCTGCGCCTCTTCCTAAGAGCCCGGGCCACCCCGCGCCACACCTCCTTGTTCAGCTGGCACACAGTCTTATCCAGCAGGCGCTTCTGTTCCTCCAGCTCAGCCTTGCCCCGCCGGAGTGCCTCCCGCTGCTTCCCCTCCTCCTCCAAGGCCCGTTTCAGGGCCTGCTGCTCCTGCCCCAGGCGGGCCAGCCCCCGCTGGGCCTCCTCCAGCCGGGCCTCCAGTGCCCGCTTGGCAGCTGCCAGGCTCCCCTCCTCCTCCTGAGCTGTGTTCAGGGCCTCCTCAAGCCGCTTTTTCTCTGCCTGGGAGAGGGAAAGCCATTTGGAGAGGAGTAGATAGGAGGGAAGAAAAAGAGGTTTATGAAAAAGGTGGGCAATGCAAACGGGCTCAGAGGAACCAGCAAAGGAATTAAGACACAGAGGACAAGCACAGGGTGAGAGATAAGAGACAAAAATACCAGTACAAAGGCCAAGACATTCATAACAAAGCACACTCCAGAAAATAAACCTAACTTTAACAGAGGGTTGTTGGGAAGGCAAAAACCAGCACACTCGGGGCAAAAGAAAACTGGTAGCTGAGGATTTTGCTAGGGAGTGTTTAGCCAGGGGTGAGGGGAGAGAGGGCCAGGAGGAAGCCGCCAAGGTGGGCAGAAGCACTGACCTCTAGCCGCTGCACCCTGTCGCGAAGCCTCGCCTCCGCCACTTCCCCACCCTCCGCCAAGCCTCGGGCCTCCTTCAGCTGCTGCTCCAGACCCAAGATGCGCCGTCGGAATTCGTCATTTTCCTCCTGGGTCTCCCGAAGCGTCGTTTCCACTGCTGCCCGCCGCTGCCCCAGCACCTCCACCTCTGCCTCTGCTGCCTTCTGAGCCTGCGGCCAGTTAGGGGAGTGGCAGCTCAGACCCCAGGGCTCAAGGCCACTGACCACCACCAAGAAAGCCACCCCAAAGAGAGCCCACAAGAGCCAGATTTCAACAGTGGTAGTGCCCCCTGAGAACCCCACCCCTACGGAGACATGGTGCGTGCCATCAGGTGCAGCCCTGCCTCCCCCTGCCAACCCCTGGCTGCTTTTCACCGCACACTTATGACCAAGGATCTGGTCTGTACATACCCAGGGTAGGTAATTTCCTCACCCTCTGGCTCCTCAGCCCTCCAGACCCCTCAGCCTCCACCTCCTAAGCCCTGTGCCCACTCCCCTTGCCTTGGAAGCCTCTTCACAGTCCTGTCTCAGCTGCTGGAGAGTCTTTTGCAGCTGGAGGTTCTGCTGTTCCAGTTCCCGGCCTCGATCAACCTCAACCCTCAGCTGTTTCTCCAACTCCCGTTCCCGGTGACGCCCAGCCACCTCCTGGCTTTGTTGCTCTTCCCTCAGCTCCTTAAGTTCCTGCTGTGTCCGGCGCAGCTCCTAGAAGGGAAGGGGAACGGTGACAGGGCAGAGAGAGCCACCCTTGGATAGGACACTGTGTAGCAACCAGGACCCTCATACATTGCTGGGGGAACGTAAGACGGTGTGGCCGCTTGGCCGAGTGGCTTGGCAGTTTCTCAAAAAGTTGACCCATTAATTCCATTCTTAGGTATATATCCAAGAGCACTGAAAACATTTTTTGGGAAAACATGTTATATGAATGTTCATAGCAGCATTATTTCATGAGAGCTAAAAATATAGAAATGACCCAAATGTCCATCAATTGGCAAACAGATAAACAAAATGTGGTATATCCACATAGAATATTATTCAGCCATAAAAAGTAATGAAGTACTGACACTTGCTACAACATGGGTAAACCTTAAAAGACATTATGCTAGGTGAAAGAAACCAGACATGCATTGTATATGTATATGATTTGTAATGTATATTATTTGCCAGAAGAGGCAAATTCACAGAGGCAGAAAATGGATTAGTGGCTGCCAAGGGCTGGGGCAAGTGACTGGATATGGGGTTCATTTTTGAGGTGATGAAAATGTTCTGTAACTAGATAGTAATATGGTTGTACAACTTTGTGTACACACTAAAAACTACTACGCTATACACTTTAAAGGGGTGAATTCTATGGTATGTGAAATAAATCTCCATAAAAAAAAATACATGGAATAGATGAGGGTGTGAACAAAACAGGATTGGCTGTTTCAAAAACAAAAGAAAATATACTGAAAACCAAAAAATGCAACACAATAAATAGTGGGGCTGCTTTTATTTCTTTTTTATTTTTAAAAAAATTTTAAGGGGCGCCTGGGTGGCGCAGTCGGTTAAGCGTCCGACTTCAGCCAGGTCACGATCTCACGGTCCGTGAGTTCGAGCCCCGCATCAGGCTCTGGGCTGATGGCTCAGAGCCTGGAGCCTGTTTCCGATTCTGTGTCTCCCTCTCTCTCTGCTCCTCCCCCGTTCATGCTCTGTCTCTCTCTGTCCCAAAAATAAATAAACGTTGAAAAAAAAAATTAAAAAAAAAAAATTTTAAGGTTTATTTATTTTGAGAGAGAGAGAGAGAGCACAAGCGGGGCGGGGGAGGAGGGGAGGGGAGAGAGAAAATCCCAAGAAGGCTCCATGCTATCAGCACAGAGCCCAATGTGGGGTTCAGTTTCACAAACTGTGAGATCATGACCTAAGACAAAACCAAGAGTCAGACACTTAACCAAGTGAGCTACCCAGGCGCCCCTACTTCTTTTTCAAAAAATTAAAATATTGGGGCACCTGGCTGGCCCAGTCAGCAGAGCATGTGACTCTTGATCTTGGGCGTTGTAAATTTGAGCCCCACAGTGGGTACAGAGATTATTTCAAAATAAAAATCTTTAAAAAAATTAGGAGGGGTGGGAGAAAAAAATTAAAATATGAACTCTGGTTCTAGTTCTTTAGCTGTTAGCTACTTCTGAAATTCAGAAATTACCATAATTAGGCTGAAAGGATATATAATATATTGTGAGTTTTCAATGTAAGACACTAACAAAACTACAAAGGAAAAGAAAAACAGGGGCGCCTGGGTGGCTCAGTCGGTTCAGCATTGACTCCTGGTTTTAGTTCAGGTCATGAACTTGCAGGCTGTGGGTTTGAGCCCTGCGTCAGCCTCTTCACTGACAGTACAGAGCCTGCCTGGGATTCTCTCTCTCTCCCTCTCTCTCTGCCCCTCCCCCACTCGCTCTCTCTGTCTCTCTCTCCCTCTCAAAATAAATAAATAAACTTTAAAAAATTAAAAAAAAAGAAAAACAGCACAGTGTATGGTCTACATTGGACAAAGTCTGTTTTCCTAATGTATATACTTTGTTATTAAGTACTGATAAAACATACTTCACATATGAGTAAATGAAGCTCTGGTTATTACTTTTTAGCTTTTTAGCTTTATCTAGCATAATCAATCAACTGAGATTGTCCAGAGGAATTATGTAGACTAATATAGCAAATAGACTTCAGACTATCCTTAATTTTTGTTAACTTCATATTAATACAGTAAAAATTTAAGAGCACTTTTCATTTCACAGCCACCAAAGTATATTTGGTTTTGGTTTATTATGTTTTTCTCACCAAATATGTGTGTAAGCTCAGACTTTTATTTACCTGGAAAAGCATCACAACTATACTTCTTTAATAAATATGGTTACTTTGGTTAAAATTAGGCAGTCTTACGGTAAAGGCATGATACACAAGCATTGATCAATTAATACTTGTTAAGTAAGCACCGACTACATATCAAGCATAGTGAATCAAAGATTATAAACCTAGAAGAATCTTCAGGAGGCCATAAATGCCAGTTTTCTATACTAGCAAAAATATTTTCTAAGTTTCTAAATCATCCAAAATAATTACTTGCTTTCTTGTCCTTCATAAACTAATACAAAGAATATGAAGAAATTATTTATATCTACTTCAATTTGGTGACTTTATCATTTATAAAACATCCGTGCATGATAAAACATCTAATTCCCTTGGTCTAGATGCTATACTCTCTAAGCAGCCTTCAAATTACAACTTGGCTTCCCAAGTAGGCCAGCCTGCCATGCCAATACAAGTATTCCAGTCTGTGTGACAACATTTCACATTACAAGTTAATAAGCTGGCATTCTAACTGTAAATGTTTGTTTCATAGATGTAGGTAAAGAGTCCATATCCCACCCCCCCCACCCCCTGCTGCTCCAAAACAGAGCAACTCTTGCTATCTGACCAAACTCCAAGCTTGCAAAAATGACCCTGAAGTTTCACAAATCCATCTAAATGCTGCTCCCCACGAAGTCTCTTGGGAGGTAGCCAGCAGCCGCCAATCTGGCCACCAAAAGTCCTTTACATTAGAAACCTGTATATTCAATGAGAGCAGCCAGGCTGGATCAGAATGTGTGGGGCAGAGATACGGCCAAACAGGTCCTGAAAACCAAGCACATAGGAGGCAGCCACAACAGTGTAGAGGCCCGGTCAGTGTCTGCCAGCCCAACCTGCCTGCCCTTCCACACTCCAATTCCAAGTTCGTCCGTCCTTCCTTCCTTCCTTCCTTCCTTCCTTCCTTCCTTCCTTCCTTCCTTCCTTCCTTCCTTCCTTCCTTTTCTTTCATCTCTGAACCCAATATGGGACTCAAACTCACAATCCTGAGATCAAGAGTCCCATACTCCACCAAGCCACCCAGGCACCCCTCCAAGTACCTTCCTGAGCTCCTCCATTTGGCGAGTGTCTGCAGCACCAGCCCGAGCCTGCCCTAATTCCCTTTGCAAGACCTCCATCTTGTCCCCAAGCTCCTCTTCCATTTCCTCCTTCTCCATCCGCAGCTGCAGGAGTCTGAGCCCAGTCAGGTGAATGAAAAGGGAAAAGGAACAAGTTCAGACCACCTGCCAGGGAGAGGTGAGCAGGATAATGCAAACCACCTCCCCAGGGGCCAGGAGCCTGGGCACCCACTGTCAGCAGAGTGAAGGGCACAGCAGGGGTAGAAAGGAAGTAGGATGTAGGAATCATGGATAAGCATTCCCGGGAAAGAGGCAAAGTCCTCACTCCTGCTTGGTGGCTCTAAGCTCCTCCTTGTTCTTCTGGAACATGCTCTGCCAATGCCCTGTCTCCTCCGATGTCTCCTCCAGCTCTCTCTGCAGTTCCCGCACAAGGGTTGACATCTTCTGCCTTTCAGCCTCTAATGCAGCATGATCCTAGAGAAGGGGACAGTTGGGGGTCAGGAGGCTCAGAGGGAAAAATGCACTTCAGATCAAGTGTAGGTGTGTAGAAATGGAGGCTTGGGCCCACAGGGCACCACACCAGCTGCACACCCTTGTCCCCCAGCGGTGCCTGATGTGATGCTAGCAGAAAGCTCTTCCCAAGCCACAGTCCACCCCGCTGTTGTTTAGATGAAGCCCCCCCTACCCCCCAGTTATTTCCCCATGGGACTTGGGTCACACACCCTCACGGTACTCCTGGCCTGCACTCCCTCTCTCTGCCCTTGCAGGTTTCCTGGCCAAGGTTTTCACTACACCTCACATGTATCTTTTAGAAGGAGTTGCAGTTACAACTAGAAAAGTCTCAAAATACCAAGGCCTCACGGCAGCCCCTCTTGGGGTGGGGAGTGCCCACTTCTGGCGGCCCCTGCTCTGGCCACATGCCTGGGTTGCGTCTTGCATACTCCGGCGAAGCTGCTCCGTGTCTCGCTGGTACTGCTGCCGGACCTGTTCCACCTCCTGGTCACGGGAAGCCACCTCATCCTTCAGGGCCCCCTTCAGGGCTGTCAGCTCCCGCTCCCGCAGCCTCAGCTGCTCCTCTACCCGCTGTTTGCCCTCCAAGACCGCTTCCAGAAGCTCCCGGGTCTCTAGCAGGTCCTGGGGAAATGAGGGTGGAAGTACAGGGGTGACTGTAATAGGATCTGCCTTGCTATTCATTCAGTCAGCCAATCAGATACACTGACTGAGCACCTTGTACATGTTAGACTCAGTACCAGGTGCGAGGGGCCTCTGAGATGCCTATTTAGGAAAAAGGAAACGCACCATTCTGGGATCTAACCCCAGCCCACCTTTGAGTCTGTCTGAAAGCACGCTAAGGGGTACCTGTAATCAGCTACCTACTGCCCATGCGTTGGGGAAAGTGTGAGTGAGCAGATTTGAAGGTGCTCCAGATGACAGGAAGCAGAGGCAGGGGGAGCCATCCTGCCCCCACCTTCATTAGCGCCTCCTTAGCAGGCTCCGGCCCCTGGGCCTGCTTCAGCTTGTCCTGCAGTTCCATCACTTGGGTCTCCAGCCTGTGTCGTACCCTTTCACCCTGGTCCACAAGGAGCTTCATGTTCTGGAGCCTAATAACAATAGATAACATTATCAAGTGCTAGGTGTCAGCCAGCTTTCTAAATACTTTATGCGTATCGTTTCATTTAAACCTCCTTAAAGTCTCTGTTCAAATCTTAATGAGGCCTCCACTGTGCCTCCACCATTCGGCCCACTGATCTGCTTTAACTTTTCTACTTATCACCTTCTCCCATGCTGCAAATGTACTTACCTAATATGTTCTTTATTTACGGTCTGCCCTGTCCCCCACTAGAAGCTCTGCTTCTGGAGAGCAGTGCTCCTCATCTGAACGGTTCGCTGATGTACCCCAGGAATCTAGATCACTGCCTGCCACACAGTATTCACAGCAAAACATGTGCTGAATGAACAATCCTGTGAGGTAGGTACTATTATTAACCCATTCTACAGATTTAGAGCCTGAAGCAGAGAGGCAAATCCAGGTAACCCAACTCAGGCACCACCACCATGACCGATAACATAAAGAGAAAGGTCCTATCTTTAAACTGTCTCTGTCTGCTTCTAAAGACTTCTCCCTGTCTCTCTCACCCAGGGGCAACCTCCATCTGGCCTTGGTCCCCAAGCAGCCCCACGTGCACACTCGGCGGCACTCACTCTCTGGTGCTCTGCTGGGCCTCCCCCTTCCTCCTCTCCAGCAGTTCCTGCAGTTGGCTGCACTCTTCTGCCTTTTCCTCCAGCTGCCGCTCCAGCCCAACCTGGGAGGGTTCTAGCTTCTGTCGCTTCTGGAAAAGGCAAGGAGAGAAAAACAGGTGGAGAGTAGGAAAAACCTCTCAGAAGGACCAGGAGTAATGGGAACGTCTAACATTTAATGACACTCCCTAAATGACAGGCGCTATACTAGGGACCCTGTGCTTATTATCTGCATTTAATACTTTTCACAAGCCTTGGGACTTGCGATGGTTTAAAGTACATCCACTAATTCCTCAACATTCCTTTCAAAAGGTGAAGCCTCAGGGTGCCTGGGTGGCTCAGTCGGTTGAGCGTCCGACTTTGGCTCAGGTCATGATCTCGCGGTCCGTGAGTTCAAGCCCCGCGTCGGGCTCTGTGCTGACAGCTCAGAGCCTGGAGCCTGTTTCAGATTCTGTGTCTCCCTCTCTCTGACCCTCCCCCATTCATGCTCTGTCTCTCTCTGTCTCAAAAATAAATAAACGTTAAAAAAAAAATTTTTTTTTTAAAAAAGGTGAAGCCTCTTCCCTGGAGTATGGGCTGGACTTGAGGACTCTCTTCTCTTTTTTTTTTTTAATGTTTATTTATTTTTGACAGAGAGAGAGAGACAGAGCATGAACAGGGAATGGGCAGAGAGAGGGAGACATAGAATCCGAAGCAGGCTCCAGGCTCCGAGCTGTCAGCACAGAGCCCAGCGTGGGGCTCGAACCCACAGACAGCGAGATCATGACCTGAGCCGAAGTTGGATGCTCAACCGACCGAGCCACCCAGGCGCTCTGAGGACTCTCTTCTAACAAACAGAAAAGGAAGACGTGATGTGTAGCTTCTGAGACCAGGTCCTAAAAAGGCATTGCAGCCTCCAATCCTTACCCTCTCTCTTAATCATTCACTCTGAGGAAAGGTAGCTGCCATATTGGACGCTCAAGTGGCCCCATGAAGAGGTCCACATGGCAAGGAGGTGAGGCCTCCAACCAACATCCACTGTCTTCTCATGACTAGCCCCAGCCAATACCTTGCCAGGAAATTCATAATAGACCCTGAGGCAGAACTACCCAGCTCAGCTGCTTCCAGATTCTGGGCCCTCAGACACCAGAAGATGATTATTTCAAGCTGTTAAGTTTTGAGGTAATTTGTTACACAGCCACAGGTAAGTAATATAGTACAATTATTATCCCCACTTTACAGTTAAGGAAAGAGTGGCTTTGAACATTTAAAGAACCTGCCTAAGGTCAGGGTAACAGCCAACAAGTTAAGGTATCAGGATTTGAACTCAGTTTGACTCCACAGCTGACCACTTAACCAGGACACTATACTGCTTTCCAGGAAACAAGGGGTATTAAAATCCAACACTTACTGAGCACCAACTACATTCAGGGCAATACCCTGAGAGGTAGAAGCAGTCTATATTTTTTTAATACATAACCTTTAGCATAAGACTGACCTGAATTTTCAAATTCTTCTCTGCAACTTACTGTCTTGAACAACACACTTAACCTCTCTGATCTTCAGTTTTCTCATCATAAAAGGGTTCACAATACCTACCTTACGAGATCCCTATAATTACGGCGCATTACCTGGGACAGTACCTACTACAAGAAGTTATCCTCAATAAATGACAGCTATTGCATAGTGCCATCATTATAATGTCAATGGAAAGGATTCAGGTAAGTAATCTGCTCAAGGCATACACAGCCAGTGTGCAGCAAAGCCGGGACGGGAACTTCCAAAGGAAACAGGTGGAAGGTGGTCAGAGCCCTGATGACTGCACCCCTATCCCTAAGCTCCAGAGAACCCCAGACATTCTTGGCGGGCCCAGCACACACTCTTGCCTCTGGTGCCACAGAACACACAACTGCTTGTTCCATTGCTTGGAAGAGCAGCCCAGGCCCCGGTTTCTCCCATGTCCGGCATTCCCCCTGCGCCTCCAATCTCCCCTCACCTTCACCTCTTCATCCAGCTTTTGCTGTAGCTCCTCCACTTTTCGGGTGAGTTCCCCCTGCCCGCCCAGGGCCTTAGTGGAACCAGAAGGCATCTGCCAGGGATATGGCGGGAAGGGATGAGTCCACATCCAGACCCCAGGCCCCAAAGGCCCTAGCCCTGTCCACTCCCCACCCCCCCACCCCCCCGCCCAGGAAGCAGCCACTCACCACCAGGGGCTGCATCTGTTCCAGCACCAAACTGACCTTCCTCTTCACAGACGTTTCACTTTCTGAGCTTCTGGAGGATGAAAGAACAGAAGCAAAGCTTAAGGGAGGGAAGAGGCAGCAGAGATGAGGGAAAGGGGAGCTAAGGGCAAGGAAGATGGGGAACGAAACTAGAAGGAGGAGCAGGGAGGTATGTGACTGCCCTCCTGGGAGGGCCCCCACGCACCCCTCCCTCAGGATGCTGTAGATGGTGGCCTTCAGGTGGTCCACACTGCCTGGTGGGGCAGCCTCCTGCTGATCTCGGAGCAGGTCTGGAGTTGACTTGAACTGCAAAACATAAACCCAGAGAAATAGGAAGATTAAGCCAGGAGCGTGTGTGGCGTTCAGATGGCGCAGCAGCGGCAGGTGGGAGATGGGGCCCTCCACCACGATGAACAAGCCTGAAGTGGGGAAAAGAGGAGACTGCTGAGGCCTGAGCAGGAAGCCCAGGAGACATCTGAGCAGAGTATGCCTCTCACTACTGCCACAGGCCACATTTTCCTTGACAAGCAGACCTCAACCAGCTGTGAACTGTGTCACAAGTTATCTGTCACCAATGATAGTTCAGGTACTAGAATTTGTAAATGAGTTACTTTTAAAACAGGCTTAACTGCATCTGCACGAAGTTGCTCCCCGACTCACTTGCACTCCTGAGTGGAAGACAAAGCCGGGAGTTGTGACAGGAGCACTAGGAGCTGCTTCGATTACCAGGCCCGCCTTACTTACTCTGCAGACCTAGCAAAAGCTAGTGGCCAAGCACAGTTAATTGCCAGGCAGTAATAAGTAACTCTCATGCTTGTGAAGGCTGACTTCATAGTTCGTTCCATTTTCATGAGAATATCATCTGTTTAGTAGAAGGATATAGTGGAGGACAAAAGTAGAAACCTTCTGCCTTTAGCTATTTGAATCAGCAAGGGGTCCTGCAGCTAGTGGGTCAGGAAGCAGAAGCCACAGGGGACTGGGGTCTGACCTGTAGTATGCCAGGGTCATGGACTCTCCCTTGTGGCTCCTCAAAACTCTGAAGAACCCAGTCCTGGGTCTGACGGGAACGGCTAAAGCCACCAAGAGGGCTCTGGCTCTGGACCGACTGTTTGGAGCTGCCCATGTGACTGTCATGCTTTGTGCTAGGGGCCCAGTGGTTGGGGGACCGACGCTCCCGTTCCTCAAGGGTATCCCGTGGGAGCCGGTTGTCCAGGCTTTGGCTCCGCTTGCGCTGTTCGGGGGGCAGTGTCCGCATGCGCCGGCCAGTCCGGCCCCGGGTCTGCCCCCCATGGTGGCTGTCAAACTTGTTGATGAGAGAGTCCACTGAAGACAGGGGAGCAGTGTCGATGGTCCCTGCGGAAGCTCCTTGAGGGGCCAGTTCCAGCAGGCTGGTGCTCCGGGTGCTCGGACTCACAGGGGCAGGGCCTGCCAGTGAAGCCTGGGAGCGGGATCGGAGCAGCCTTCCGTTCCAGTGGTCCCCAGACTCCTCATCAGACACGCTGCCTTGTGAGCGTGCAGGAAACTCCTTGGCATGAGAGTAGGAGTGCTCCGGGGGTTCCGAGTTGGAGCTCAGAGCTCCCAGAGCCCCTCTGTTGTTGGCCCCCTTGATCTGGACTCCAAAGGAGTCACTGCCTTGCTCCCCACTGTTGAGCACCACAAAGGGCTGCCCAGCAATGCCCTGCACACGCACAGCCACCCCATAGGTACTGGCTCTCGCATCCTTAGCTGGACGTCGCCCACCACGACGTAGGGTGCCCATCTCTGCATCCCCTGCTGGCTCTGTGATGAACCGAATCTGGACTCCATGGTCGACAGGGCCCCGGGGCTCAGCCATGGTGGACACCGGCTCCATGAAAAAAGGGGTCCTAGAAAATCAAGAAAAGAGTTTAGGCTGAGAGACTGGAAGTAGAAACACCTGTCCAGCTTTTGTGGGGCTCATTGCCTTGTCATTTCTTCTACATACAACAGTGGTTCTCACATTTCATCTGAGCAGCAGAAGTACCTCAAGGGCCTATGAAAACACAGACTATTGGACCCTATCCCCAGAGTTTCTGATTCAGTACGTCTGGATTTGCCATTTCTAACAAGCTCTCAGATGATACTGATACTTCTGGTCCAGATTCCAGATTTTGAGACCCACTGACTTAGAAGAATCCATTTCCTCTAATACAGTCCTAGTGAGCTTGACTTCGTCAAGAGTTTAATGACTGCTTGACCTTCACACATACACATATACCATGATGTGTTTCCTCCAACCCCAAACCCTACCTAACAGATACCTCTATCCTAATGGATAAAAGGGGCCCTCCACTCCCAGAGCTCATTTAAAGTACGGAAGACCCATAAGGTATGCCCTCCCATTTCTGGGAGAATAGCAGAGATGCCTCTGGGTTGGGGGAACTGAGGGCTGAGTGAGGAAAGAGATGGGAGAGTAACTAGGTTTCTACTGTGTGTCTGTTTGTCCCTTTTAAGTCTGGAACCATGTAAATGTATTGCTTATTAAAAAAAAGATTTAAGTAACATTTAAGAGTTCCAGTCCAAGGGGCCCTAGGTTAGGCAGACTTGTCCCACCAGAGGGCCAGAGTGAAGACCACCCATGGGCCAACTCCTCGGGTCCACATTAGCCTAAGATTAGAGTCAGCAAAATGGAATGTATTCTAGGTACGCTCTGGCTCCAGCAACTGGGGAGGGCAGGTTCTCCTCCAAGCAAATAAAAACTCCAGCTTCCCCAGCCCTGCGACTAACCTCTACCGGAGACTGGCACCACACTGGAGGCGGGGCATCAAATGTGCCAGACACACAAATGTACCCAGCCCAACCTCCCAGTGGAGCCCTGGGCCAAGGAAAGTTGGCAAGGCCCCCTTCAGGGACTGTAGATATGCTAGGAAGCCCAGGAAACTGGGGGTGAGTGGGGAAGGGAGTGGCCTAGCTCCAGGTGAGAAAGGGCTTGGTGGGAAGAACATTCCTAGCATTCCCAGCCCTTCCCCTCCAGGGAGGGAAGGAGCCCTTACAGGCAATAGTTCTTCACCGTTTTGGTTCTGAGACCCCATTGGAGGGAACAATGAAAGCAATGCCCCTCCACCCCCCAGGAAATAGTCCATAGAGTCTCAAGAGTTTCAGGAACACCTCAAAGCTACCCTGAACTAAAGGAGCCCACTCAGGCATCCGGGAGGACTTCAACCTACCTCAGATACTCCAAACAGAAGGACATTTAGTCGGCTGGGTCCTTTGTTAGAATTCAAGTAAGAGATGGGACCGGAAAAGAAGCTACAAGGGGTCAGTTTTACACACCGCTCATCTAATAGAAAAGGAACTGGGGCGCCTAGGTGGCTCAGTCGGTTGGACGTCCGACCTCAGCCCAGGTCATGATCTCGCAGTCTGTGAGTTCAAGCCCCGCATCGGGCTCTGTGCTGACAGCTCGGAGCCTGGAGCCTGCTTCAGATTCTGTGTCTCCCTCTCTCTCTGCCCCTCCCCTGCTCATGCTCTGTCTCTCTCTCTCTGTCAAAAATAAGTAAACATTAAAAAAAAATTTTTTTTTAAAGAAAAAGAACCCAGCCCCACTCTTCATTTGATATTATATAACCATGAGCAAATCATAATTTTTCTGAGCCTCAGTTTCTTCATCTGTAAAACAGGTATAATAATAACACCTCATAAGGTAATATCTGTGAGAATTAAACAATAATTGCATGTGTAAAAATTGTATCAAGTTTGGGGCGCCTGGGTAGTTCAGTCAGTTAAGTGCCCAGCTCTTGATTTTGGCTCACATCACAATCTCTCAGTTCATTGGTTCGAGTCCCACATCAGGCTCTGCGCTCAGTGGGAGGCTGTTTGGGATTCTCTCTCTCCCCCTCTCTCTCTGTCCCTCCTCGTGCTCTCTCTCTCTCTCCCTCCCTCCCTCTCTCTCAAAATAAATGAATGGAAAAAAAAAATTTTTATCAAGTTCTACACTTCAGATTTTTGCATTTTATTTACTCTACTTTACTCTATTTATTTATTCCACTTTAATAAAAAGAGGGAAAATCACAAGATATGAAACATGAAACATACCTAGCAGTGTATGCCTGTCACAAAGCTGACAACAAATGTTACCCAGTGTACATGCTGTTCCTTCCACCAAGACCTTCCTGGCTTCACCTGCTTCACAGAAGAATGTCACTTCCTCAGAGCCTTTCCCATCCAGACCCTCCCACAAACTAGGTCAGAACCATGTTATATGCTCTATAGTCATCCTTCAATGAATTTGCCTCAGGTTTTGTTTTTTGCTTTTTTTTTTTTTTT